TTTGAATCATTTTAAACTTCTTCTGTGTGAAGAAAGTAATACAGAGATAGAAAGGATTTTCTGTTCTTGCATTTAGGGGATTTAGAAGTGGAATTGTATTGCATATAAAGCTCATTATCATGGATAATGGGCAAAAGTGAGGAATATATTTGCATCATGCTCTTTTTTCTGCCCTCAAAGATTTTTTGTACTCTCCATTATTACTAGCACGCTAAAGAAACTTGTTTAACTGCTGACAAGAATTTCTCCCGCAGAACTAGACCACTATGTTAATTGTAAATACATGTTTTATCATAGCTTAGGGAAAGCTCCTCAGCTCCTCCCACAACTTCCTAAACCTCTGTAGAGCTATGGCTACTTATATCAGCAGAGCATTTGCCATATATAATTTTACTTCTTGAGGAGCACCTCTCTAGAGATGCTCACCAATAGTCTGGGGGCCATTGGCAGTTCCCAGAGGAAGTGAGGACTGATAATCCAGAGAGAACCATCCAACTTTCTGGAGCTCCTGGCCTTGCACCCAGCTCCTACAGCAGTGCCTTTGCTAGGTATTTCTCCACAAGAATCCTCACTGTTAGCACATAGGACTGACAAAAGGAAGGAAGGTAGTCTGTGAAAGCAGAGAGTGTTGTCAGCCCAGAAAGTAATTTAGAGCCAAAAAAGCTCTGAAAAAAACACAACATTAACAGTAGAAAGCTTTTCGTAGAGACAAAATTTCAGAAAGAATACTCTTAACTTCCTTTCCTCTGTTTTTGCTTGCCCACATAAGAAGTAAGTGTTAATTTCTTTCTCCCATCTCCCCAGCTTCCTTGCAGATTTGCCAGGGGCACAGAGGGTCTGCAGACACTCTCCTTCCTCCTCAATGGACAAGCTCTAGAGGGAATTCAGAATAAAAAAGGAAATTAATTGGGAGCTTCACTCAGCCAGGAAAGGGTTCAAGTGTAGAGCAGCCAGAAGCAACTCACTATTTTGACTGGGTTGTCAAAACATGAAAGTCTGAGTACCTGTTTGTTTAGTGTCTCCTTACCTCACCCCTGTTCCATCCCTCCAGGGATGCTATACAATAAGTATTTGTTAAATGTTCATCCTTTATAGTAAATTGGATTTTTCTAAAAAATTTTTTACTATCATGTTAACTACTGGATCAAGTACTGCTTAAAAATCTTAAGAGGGGTAATATTAGCAAGCTCCTTTCTGCCTCATTCTTAAGAAAACCTAACAGCAGTTGTGTATCATTTAACAGAACATTTTATTTATTAATTTTTGTATTTGGGAAACATCCTTTATGAGATGCTGAAAGAAAAACATGTAACAAAGCAGAGTAGTAAGCTTAATTATTCTGCTACACCAGAGCACTCTCCAAATGTGTAGGAGGATTCTCACAAACAGAAAGGAAGACAGAAGTGTGGAGCTGGCCGATGAACTCCCCCAACAGAGTATTAATTTTGGGAATTTATAGAATTATCTGCGAGAAAGAAGTGAAAGTAAATTTATTACTACATCTTTTTTAATTGATACCTGAAACTTTCGTAGTGTCCTCTCACAGTAGGTAAACACTGGCTAGTCGGCCTTAGAGCATGACTTGTTCCATCACACAGACCAGTGCCACGACCAGTTGGTTGGTGGGGTCTCTCCCATTGCAGGGTGGGGCTTATGCTGCACCAGTGGGAGGGACTCGGGGGCAGCAAAGCGGTTGTGGACCATGTGGAAACTGTTATCATACAGCTGAGAAGTTACAAATTCTGGAAGTTACAACGCTGGAAGAATAAAATTTTGCTACTTGCTTCTGAATGGAAGAAACATTGAGAATTTTGTGGTTTTAACTTAAAGAGGTAGGACAATAATAGGCACACGAAGAGGACCATAAAGGACATAAATAAACTTTATCAGTACAGCCTAAATGCTAAGGAAGACTCACAGGAGGAGTGGGATACTTTGCTTGGATTGTGATGGGGGTGGACACGTCATTGGTAATATTTTGACTGTCCCTGCTCAAGTTTTTCAGTATGTCTAGATGATTTTTGCAGAGACAGTGAGATGAAGTCTTGCTCTGAATTGCAAAGCAAGGAATTTGGAATATTGCTATCTAGCCATATAACTGGAATTTGAACATTATTTGAAGAACTGACTGAATACCTTTTCAAATGTGAAGACAAGCTCCACATCTGGAAAAAGAAAAGCTTCAACCAGACAAATCCTGCCTAAAATGAGCTTCCAAAAATTCATTCAAAGATACTTTAACAGGGTGATCCCGTGGCTCTTTAAAACTTACTCCCAAAGGCATAGCTACAGTGAACCTGTCTGGTATTTTATTGAGCCAGCACTGAGACCTCAGCACCAGAAAGCTAAGCCAAAGAATAGCTTCGTGCAGGTTCAGCTCCAGTAATGGACCACTGTGGGATGAGGTGAGTGGATGAGGAAGAGGTGGCTGGCAGGTGACAGCAGCATCAAGAACCATATTAAATCCATCACGGAATCAGAGCCAAATGAGCTGGGCCAAATGGGCAGAAACCTGAGCTGCTGTTCTGCTCCCAGAGTAACGAAGACTTTCCTAGAATGTATCCTGACTAAGGAAATTTCCCTCTGTGTCCAGGAGACAAAAAATGCTAGCTAGTTTTAACAATAATAATAGAAGGTTTATATTTTCTTCCAAAACAAAGTCGCAACTTCAAAGCAGGTCAGGATCCCTCTGATAGATAAACAAAACAGAAATTCTGATTTTTTTTTAGCCTGGCATCAGTCAGAAGGAGACAGGTCTATTCCAGCCTAAGCCTTACAAAAAAATTCACATGGAGAACCACCTTCCCAGAGTCCCTGCAAAACCAACAGATTTTCTTTTCCCCTCAAGGATCATGCCCTAAAGAAATCACTGCAGTAGCATTATTGAGTCTGAGTCAAGAGTGTTTAATGGAAATCCTCAAAACCAACATTATAAAACTGAAGAGGATCTATATACACCACATATGAAGATTTTTCACTGAAATGGTTTGTCTTATAAACACCTTAGGCATGGTGAATGCAATGACCTGAAGATAAGCAAAACACCCACTCTGAATTACAATCTTGTAATTTGTGGGTAGACCAAAAATTAACCCTCAGAAAACAATCACTGAGCAAATAACCTGAGTTCAGAACCAGATGTGTACAATGGAGCTTGTTCAAACAAGTAAAAAAAACATGCAGCACATACAGATCACTGGAAGCCTCCAGTCTGTTCCGGTGAAGATGAAGGATAACCAACACCGAATACAGAGTGCTAAGTACATGTTCTAGAAACATCTTCCCTTCTTCCATGCATATTGTATAGGCTAGGGCAGAGGAGGCAAATGTGGATGTGAAACAAAATTCCTATTCCTTACCAATTTTGAACAAGTATCAGAAATAAAATTTTACCATGTAGCTGTCATTTTTGCCAACGTATCAGCTGACAACCTTGGACCAACACCTTCCCCCACTGCCTTGCTGGCCACCTTCTGCCATGCCTGCATGACTACACTTCAGGTCCTTATTTACACAGGTCCTTGAACTACTCTTAGGAATTGTGTATTCCTTTACATTTTAAAAGAGCAACAGAGCTTGGGTAACAAACGGACTGCCAGAGGATGTCACAATGAGAAAATGGGCTTACTCTGAGTGAGAAAGCAGGACCTTCTCCACCTCAGAATACCACTTCAGGGACCACTGTGGTCATCTAGTGTAAAAATATGAATTCCAGTTCAGAAAATACTCATCTCAGAGACTTTGCTGTCATGTCAACAGGTGTCAGATACTGCTTAAATTTAATACTCAGCTGACTTTGAGGCCTACTACATCAGATATCAAGGTCTCTCTCATTCAATTTAAAAGTTGGAATTAACATAGTAATCCATTTCCTTGTCTCACCATTGTGGGGACATCTTGTGATTGCTCCTAACTCATATAAAACGTGCTTCTTCCTATTACCTTGATCTCTCTGTCTGACTTTTTCTGATTTACACATGGACTGGATGTGCACTAGACATGTTCACAGTAATCAGTACAACAGATGCCCTGACCAGGACTCTGAACCTCACCAGACACAAATAATGCATCTACAAGAACTATGTGTAATGCTGCATTACTCTGAAATATAAACCTCACATTTGCTTCCTAGTATAATTCCCACATCTTTCTCAATTGGAATTAAAAAATAACTGCAATATATTTAAGAGACACTAGAGGGAAGCCAAGATGTCTCAACAACCCTAACAACACAGCTTGCAGTGCTAAACACAAAGTTAAAACCAAAAGATCTTTTAACGTGGTGTAGAAAATACCAGTTATATTTAATATATGTAAACATGCGAAACAAATTATGGATTTACAGCATGACTTTGCTGATTCTTTTTCTTTGGCACACCACATGCTGTTAGGCTCTGGGCTGTTCCCTGCAGGTGTTCCCTTGGGGATGCTGAGAGCCTGGGAACTTTCACAGTTGTACCACTTGACAGCAATTTATGAAGCATTCAGAGACTATAACTTGCTAATATACACTGTAAATACAGGTGGAGAATACACTGGTTTATGTCCAGCTCATCCCCTCTGTGTGTCCCTTCACCAGCTTTACAAAAGGACCCACTTTCACTCAGAGTGCAGGGGTAAGTCAGACGCAAATATGGTCAGAAAAACTGTTTCATATTCCTGCTCTGACCTGCAGTGATCAGGCACAGGGCTTCTTTAGGGTACCCCAAAAAGCTCTGGTCATATGATTGACTTTCCCCTCTCTCAGCTTCTTACTCTGCCACCCACATCTGCTCCCAAGCAAGCAGTTGTTTAGCCTTTTGCCACTGTCCCCAGTTGTGCTGACTCAATTTTTTTTTTTTTTTTTTTCTTTTTACAATATGGGTGCCCTCTTACTTCCTACCCTGGCCATCAGCTCTGTTAAATCAGTACCGCTTTATTTTGCCCAGAGCATGCTGCTGTTTCTCATCTTGCTGTCTTTTTAGAAGCAACACAAATCAGGGTTAACCACTGGCACACACATCCTAACATATCTGTTTACCTTCATTCCCCAGAAAGAGGGATAATAAAAAAAAAAAATAGATTTGATATCCAAAATAAGCTAATGGTAACACAATGCCAAAAATAGCTTATTATGTTAAGTGCAAGGGAGAAAAGCCTTGATATAAAGCTTGATTGCAACAACATTTCAATTTACCAGTTTAAATACAAGACTTGCATTAAAATATTTCTTGAGATACATCTCTTGCTCTCTAAAGTGATTTTTTAAAAATTTATATACACGTATCCAGTTGTAACACTTGACAGTACTCTCACGAAGCATTCAAAGAGTATAACTTGATAAGTACACACTGTAGATACGAGTGGTTAATGTCTGCACCGTGTCTTCCTTCAAGAGTTTCTAACATTATGTTGAGTACTAGCCTCAGACAGGTGACCAGCCACCTGATACAATATAATACGTCCGAGCCCTTCCTCAAAGTCCCACAGTCTGTGCTTCCAGTGCTCACTGGATCCAGATGGTGTTGCCCCTTTCTGGTCTGCGAGACTCCACTGTAAGTTCTCCAAAAGTGGAGAAAAACTGCTCCATTTCCTTCTGCAACATATCATTCCTCTTCTCTGCATCCTCCTTGGCCCGTTCTGCGTTACGCATTTTGATTTCTACCATCGTGAACTTCTTCCGCTCTTGATCCAGCTCTTCGTGCAGAGCTATCATTTCTGTCTCCAGGGTAAGATTTCTCTGCTCCAAGCTGCAAAAATGAAATAAAAGCAAACAGCTCCTGAGCAGCATTCATCACTCCAGCAGAAATGCACAACACCAACATATTCATACATGTGTCTTTTTGTGCATAAAGCTTAGACTGAATTTTTGAGAGGTGCATCTATGAACCATGGCTTCATCAGTGAATCATTCTCACAGGGCAATCTCCTCAGTAGCTCATTTAGAATTTACTCTGCAAAAGGCAGTCAGATAGTAGAGCCAAATCGCCTTACCTTTTTATCCTCGTCTCATACTCTAGTTTTTGCTTGGCCATCTCTTGCTTCAAGCTGGACACCAGACTGTGCAAAGCACTGTGATTGTTAGTACTGTTGGCCACAAACGTTTCACTGTTATCGCTGCTGCTGGTGGCTCGGCTGCTATGGGCCCCCACACTCCTTCTGTCACTTTTGTTCTCATAGTCATCTGGGTTAGAGAGGTCTTCATGTAGTGGCCCATCCAGCACAGAGTCTTCAAAGTTACCTGCACAAAAGTCCTGCTCCGGGCAGGTGGTGGTGGACGAACGACAGGAGTTGGAGTGCTCAGGGAGGGATATTTCACAAGAGGATGTTGACCAGGTGGCACTGTCCACACTCTGTTTGTCATCGGAGTTCACCACAGAGAACTGCTGGTGAACATTGTCATAGGTGGAAAGCCTGTTGTGCTGGCCTGACTCATTCACCGACTCCTTTTGCTTGTTGTCCCTCAGAGTGACATAGCCATTGGGCACCCACCCTAGGGTCCGGGTGTTGAGGGTGCTGCTGTGCCCGTCTGTGCTAGAAACACCCATCCGCACCCCTCCGTTCTGCACACTGTGTGTGCCCATCTTAGTCACCGGTCCTTTCAGTGATGATGTTCTCCTAGTTTGCAGGGTACAGTTTGGTAGGGCCTGGCTCTTCTCAGGCCCCTCTGCAGAGCTGCTGAAGGACCCGTTGGTGACTATGCCACTGCCTTTATTAAACGCAGGATTTTTTTTCAGTGTGAGTGGAGGGCTTCTGGTGACATCTTGTTTCTGGATGCTGTTCCTGGGGCTATTTGTCTTGCTGCCTGGCAGAGCAGTCAGAGACTCACTGTCCACGCTTGCCCTTTGGGGAGACTCGGGTGTGTCCCAAGAGCAGCGCCTCACTGCAGTCTCCTTGGTGTTGTTGTTCTCTTTGTTCTGTAGCTGCCCCACAATCACTTTCTTTGGCATTTCGTTGTTGTTGTTGCACACCTCAGATCCCATCTGAGGGTCTGCATCCTTGGGAAACAGTTCTTCATGTTTGCTAATCATCACTGACATTAGCTGCTGGACTACCACTGTACCTGAAAGGAGACGCCAAGCACACGGTCATTAACAGCCTGGTTTGTTTAAGGCATAAATATATTATATCCATCAGATTCAACAAATACTTTGGTAACCATTCAGCTTATACAGCCATTCACATAATGCATCCATATAACATCCTTAATGTTCAAGGCACATGAAGTACTTCTGGCTACCAAGCCAGATGAAAAGCATCTCTTCCTTCCATAAAACCAAGCCAGCAGGCCTCACAGACTCCCTAAGAATGGGAACTTTTGTGAAAAAGCTATTACTGTGACAGCACAGTACAGAACTAACACAAGACCACAGCTTGCTAGTTGTTGTAATAAATGGCTACCTTTACTCTTAAAGATACCTGTATAATGGGATGAGGAATTGGTTTTGTATGGTTCAAGAGAGGTTTTCCAGAATTCAAATGATGGGGCAATTTTTTTCCTGTCAAACGCAGTGGTAAAAGCTGCCCAAGTACAGTGCAATGTTTGTAGTAAAATTCTTCACATAAAAGCTAATGTTTTCAGAAGGTGACCCATAGCTGCACGTTTGACTTTGAATGATTGTGCAGGAAAAGCACTCGGTATCTTCCAGAAAGCACAGAGCCATGAAGAAGGGTGGCCACGAGCACCGATCAATGTACAGTCTCTGTTAAAAGTTCCTGTACGTTTAACTATGTGTAGCCCAATTGCAAATGAGCATTATCTCATGTCAAATCCTAGTTATGCTTAAATAGAAGCCATAAATCTGTTCAATCAAACCTGTTTTGCATTAGTTAAAAAACATGTCTTTCCCTTCAATAAGTGGAAAATAATAAGTGGAAAATAAATCCATGCCATTTCCTACTGTAGCCACTAGCCATTTTAGTACTAGGGCTGTTGATAAGCAGGCTGGAGAGTAGTTTTGAAGAACTTGAAAAATGTATTTTTTTTATTTTAACTGTGTGGAATGGAAAAAGAAAACTTTCTTGTTCAAAATTTAAAATAAACCAACCCACCCACAAACTTTAGGCAGCGCCCAGATTGGAAAAATATAAACCTAGAAAACAGTATTTTATTTAGGAATGGCTAACTCCTCTCTCCCTATCCCAAATCTGTATTTCTCTCCCCTGCCCCAGGTGAGCTAAAGGTATGTGGTACTCTATCAGCAAACGTCAGCCTGTGAGATACTGTTCTCATTGACTTTGGTGGTATAAAGCAGCTCTGACATCTCTCTCCAATCCCAACCTACCAAACAATATGAAGTACTTTTTGTACTATTTATTGCAAAAACATGAAAAATGTGACAGTTTGCTGCCTAACCAAGAAAAACATTCACAGGAATCATCTACCAGGCTGCTAAGCTGTACAGCAGTGCCAGGGTAAGAGAAGCTACTATCCCAGTCAGTCTGGCAGTTCTGTACCTACAGAGAGACAGGCTGGAAGTGTAGTGATGGTCAGCACACACACAGACAAAATGTAACTCCTGTGAAAGACATGACAAGCCAGCTGAAGAGGAAGGAAACAAAGCAGGAAAGAAAAACCCTTGTGTTTCTCTCTCAAAATACCATGGGGAGACGATTAAGGGGTGTAAACTAGGACTTCAATGACACGTGAAGCTCTATCAGACAGTCACAGTGCATTTGAGACAAGCATGTAAAGAAATGAGGGGAAAGCCACAAATGCAGTTTTAGGGGTATTTGAAGCTGCACAGGTTTGATATGATACTCGTGCACAGTCATAATAAATGTGTACATAAATTGGACACTAGCTCTTGCAAACCCTTTTGAGTTAAATAAATGATCAATCCATTTTCTGTGACAATGCGAATCCAGACATTAAAGTGAAGATGATTAAAAATAACTTTCCACGTTAGAAAGTTTTCTGGTTTGTCTGAACAGTAGGTTCCCAGCTAACCCTGGATACTCCCTGCTTTCACAGATTATTTGGAAATGCCATGTTCCTCTTCACAACAACATAGCTGTTAAGAATTAAAAGGAAGAAGGAGAAAAAATATGACTTCAGAAAAACAAGTAAATAAACTAAGTATATGGGGAACTGTGGGGAACATAAAAACATCAAACGCAGAAAAAGAATAAATCCACATGCTCTCAAAAAAACTGTGAACGCTGCATTTTTGAGCTTTGGTGAGATTTTCAGTGTAGGGTCTGTGCAATGCCCTAATTTCTGAGAAAGGTAAGTGAATCCACATAGTAAGAAAAAAAGAGTTTGGAGGGGAAAAAAAGACATCATGTACTTTATGGAGAATTAAAGCCATAAAGATTAAGCCTAGGAGGAAGCAGCCATGGCCATATTTTTGTTTTAATCACAGCAAAATGCTACAGCTGAACATTGCTGTAAATAACAGAACACAGCTAACAATTTGATCACTGCTGTGCAAGAAAACATGTAATATTACCACTGTCTCGTGGGGGATTCTACACAGGTCACTGCAGTATGAACCTCTACTAACTTCTTCTCATCCTTAAAACCTGCAGGTATAACATTAACTGCACTCCAAACACATGTGCTGAATAAGAACATGCCATATTTGCAGCAAGTTTTGAGAGAAAAAGTACATTTTAGTGAAGTTGCCAGGGCAGCACAATCTCCTGCAAAGTCTGTTTGCAACACTGCCCATTTCAGTCACTTTTATAGTAACCTGCCAGACTTGACTCAGGAGTTCATTGAGGTTGAAGAATTCTGTGTCTATAAAACAGATGTATGGGACTTACTGCACAGACTACGTGGACTGGTATGCACTGTTAATAAACCTAAAGACATTCCCTCTTTCTATTACAACTTAGGTACAATAAGCTCACCCTCCATGATAGTGAGAGGATCTTCCACTTTGGGGCGAAGGATGTTGGGGCCAAAAACAGTAGCCAGATTTTGCACACTCATTTTGTTTACACCTGAGTAAGACTGGACTTCATCAAGGAATCTGTGGGGAAGAAAGAGGCCTTTAAGCAACATGTAAAAAGGAAATAAAAACTAAAAAAAAGTCAAAGCATGTGATGGTTTCTTAACATCATTCAAGTATCCTATTCCAAATCTTCATGGAACATCTTGAAGTTCAAGGTTATTCTTCTCAATTTCTTAATTTTTTTCTTCAAAATGGTACATTGATAGAATTTAAATGTCAATCTGGACAGACTACAAGATCATTCTTTTGGAGATGGCAACTTTCTCCAGCATAATTAACAAATGGCTCATAAAATATCCTCAAAAAAATCAAACTGTTAATTAAAAAAAGTTCATTTTTTTTTAATGCTGGGAACTTTCTGTAAGTTCCCAAATTTCAACTGTATAAGATATTTTTAAGATCTTAGATGTCTCCACAAAACTATTCTATATACTAAAACACACACTGTTTTCAAGGATACCATGCTTCAGGAGTACACAGACAAAGCCAATAACTGCAGTTCGAAATGGGAAAACCACAGTCCCTGTAAAGAGGACAGAATATGTTCACTTCTGTCTTCTTGTATTTCCTGTTGAGCGTGGTCTGCTTATGAAAGGAAAGTCATCACTGTGTACCTTGATAGAGCAAATTAGTAATTAGTCATGCAGTAAACCTATATTTTTAGGCCATGCACTTAGGTTCACCAATCCTCCCGACTATGAGTAATGCTTTTCCTTCAGGGCAGACACACAGACAGGCTCGTCTGTCAGCTCGCAGCTATAAATACCATTGTGATATTCTTGCAACAGCACTTACCTACAGATATATTTCAGCAGATTAAAATTGACAGCTGGCAGGCTCTTCACTTGCTTCACCAGTTCTTTCATTCCCTTTAAGTGGTTTAAGGGGAAAAAAAAAAAAAAAAAGAGTGGAGAGGCAGTTTCTTAGTGTTTTACCAGAGATACAAAAAAATGTCAGCAATTTGAATTACAAGGCAATAAACACATCACTGAAACTGCAGCATCAAATGTTATACACAGGCTACCATCAGGAACTGCTTGTAGAAGCCACTGTGGATAGGTTTTCACTGTGGATAGTTAAAGATACATTTAGCTATCAAGGATTAGGTCCAGATAAAAATAAAGAAGGAAATAACTTGGTTTCATCGTGTCTGTTGCTTTTCTTTGATACCAAGGCTGTGGCTTTCAGGAACAGTTCTGAGTTGAAGTAGTTAGCTTTTCCATATGAGAAACTAATTAGGTGTTTTATGCAGTGCTGGTTCATACTAGATTCATACCAATAAATGCTTATTTCACTTTGTGTCCACTCTGGGAATGGGACAAGAAGAATATCAGACAGTAACCCTGTGCTTTGTGGAAACAGATCCTGGCTACATTTCCTACCAACCAGTGCCTTTAGACTCTTTTTCAGTATGGGGTTTTGGTATTTGATAGCATCAGTGGGGTTTTGATTACAATGTTATGAAAACCAATGCAAATCAAGATGGGTAGACCACAATATTGCACAAGTTTGCTGGCTGTGGGATAAAAAAGGAAACAAGATCTACAGCTCTCTCCCCTAAGAGTGACTGCACTTCTAACTTCTGCATGGAGAAAGATCAACTGGAAATCTAGTCAGACAGCCTTATAGCTGGACTGCTAAGCTAACCATAGAGAGGACTGACGTGGCTCATCTCCTACAGTACTGATTTTTCACAAACTGCCAGCACCAACTGCAGCACCAAAAGGCCACTTATTTGAATCCTGCATTCAAAATGAATTTCATGAAGTGCTTGGCATAGTTGCAGAGGAACTACATAAATACACTGTGGACTAAGCCAATACAAAATGACTAAAAATTTAGTCTGAAAATGAGTATCACTGCAAGTATAAACTGCATGGTGACTAACTACAGTCTTGTCAGGTATCTTTACACTGGAGCTATCAATGGTTAGAGACATATGCAACATGCACAAGCAAATAGCTACAACTTTAGCTCTGAGGATCCCCTCACAATCTGCCATAACCTGTGCAAAGAGCAGCTCAAATTAAACAAGCTGTAAAGCCCACTCCCACCTTTTGTGAGCAGCTGACAAAACTTTGCACCTTGTAGCAAGTTTTAAAGAACAGCATAGAAACTAATTGGATTTCAGTGAGTCTAAAAGATTATAAACATAGAAGACAGTTTGCCACAGCTCTTTCTCCCCCTCAAGTTCCCTCAGGTGGGAACAGTTACCACCTCTCCTGTGGCATCATTGTCAGTCATCAACTGAAGGCTCGGAAAGGAGACAGTCTCTCAGTTAGAAAAGAGGGGCTCCTACCAATCTTAATTAATCTAATTAAATAGGAGGGCGTTCAGTTTCTAGCAGGATTTGAAATGTCAAAAAGGAATTACACAGAAATAACCACCTTACAAAGTTGAGGTAAACTGAAATCAAAAGAATGAGCCTATTTGTGTTTATTTTGAAGAGAAAATATCAGGGTTGACTTCACTACCCATAAACACATAGAACAATGTAAAACCAAGCACTTAGTTTCTTATGTTTTCAGACTAATATGCAATAGGGCCATACCACTGCTAGGTGCATATTTTCAGTCAGAATCTTTATTTTGTTTTAATCAGAATCTTTGTTGTTTTAAAAGAGCCTGGAAGGTATTCAGTGACAGGCAATGAATAGAGTCTTCAGTCAAAAGTCAGTAAAAGCTGCTATCCTGACACTTAGAAGAAAACTACCTAATGGCAAGAGCTGGACAGCAGCTATCCTTTTACATTTCAAATTACCCATCCTTTTACAGTTCAAAATGATAATTATAAAAACTTAAGTCCCTTCCATGCAAAATGGAAGCTATTGAATGCAATGATGTTTACTTGAAATAGATTCAATGATATGTAATAAATTAGCTAAGGTAATGATAACAGCCAAGTTTATGTTATATATCTTGATTCTATGGTCTACTTTTTTACTTCAAAATTACTCAGGTGGCAACAATTTTCATACAAAACCAGCCTCAATTAATAGATTAACATGTTAAATTAGGATGGGTAATCACCAGCTTTTCTCCTCCTCAAAATCAGGACAGGTTATAACATGCCAGCCCTTTATTTTATCTGATTCAAATGGCCAACTCACCGTTTCTTCCTCCTTGCTGAGCATCTTGGCACAGGAAAGAAAATCTTCGTATTTTGCATATGGTATGACGGGTTCTGGCAGCTCCCTTAGGTACAGCTTAAGCAGTGAGGCCACTGTGTGCACATCTGTATTGCTGTTGAGTTGGAACACAAGTTGTTACCATGAATCAGGATAATACAGTGAGGCTGACAAGCTAAAAACTGCCACAACTTTACCATTGTCACCCCAGATTTTACTTGTCAGCAGTATATGCATTTATCATCCCATCTGTCATCTGTTTGCGGTAGGGGCTGTCCTTTACAAAACTTAAGATACCTGCAAGCACGAGTCTGTCACCTCTGATGATTTATTATTATAAATAACTGTACATAAGGCCCTATTTGCAAGCACAGGTACTGAGAAGACTCTGGCTCTCATTGACAGACATCTCACATCAAGCACGTAAAATCCATCTTAGCTGATGCTTTTCATTTTCATCTGAGACAGAAACCAGGCATTATATTTACACAATGAGGATTCCTGTCCTACCAGACATGGCCCCATATCCCAAAACACACTCAGCATGTTTCAACTCCACTGTATTACCACCTCCTCTGGCACCACTATTAAGTAAGCAAGTTTTAAAGGAGACCATATACACCACAGGTGTTTAGTTGAAACTTCCCCATCTGAATTACAGTCCTTCACCTGGCAAGCATCGTTTTCCTATGGGCTCCCACATAAAAGACCACTGTGACTTTTAGCTGTACTGTTACACCAAAAACCTGGATATACTTTACACACAGAACTGTAAATCCATGGCAAATGAGTTTTAGCTCTATCATGTACCAAGTAAGCTAGGGCATTGGAATTCTTCAAACTTAAGAGTCTGAGTGCTAGCACAACAGGTAACATGATAAGGCTGACAGTCAAAGACCTCATAGACACGTGTTTTTTCTTAATTATGTCTGCAGAATCTTAAGGGCTTTTTTGGATACAGCTAGTAGGAGCCTAGACTTTTTACCAGGCATACTAAAAGTAAAAAGATAGGAAGAAAGCTCAAAATCACAAGTTCAGACTAGGCAATAAAATTTGGTTTACTGTAAATGTTTCTGTAGTATGTAAAGTTACATTGTGGGAACTTAGGAGTACTTCTCTGAAAACAAATACATAGAAACAGGTAAAAACTGCAAGTCAGTACACAGAAGCATCACTTACGTTACTTCTGAGTTCATGTCTGGGTTTAACTGCTCAGGCATTTATTCATATCCTTACTGGAATGTTCTACATGCTTTCCCTGGTTAAGATAAGAGTTACACTGCAAGCTAGTATCTTTCCCTCTGACTTCTGATAAGTCAAAAAACTAGATACTAAATTATGCTAATTCCATTCATAAGGAACAAAAAAATCTCATAGACATTTCCACAATGTGCATTATTGAGTATTTTCTTTTCTTTGAAGACTCCAAACTTGGAACTCTTTTTTTAAACTCAGTCTCTCAAAGAGGATCACTGATATTCGACACCTAAGCTTTGCCAGTGTTATGTTAATCATTATTTTGGAATGATCTGTTAAAACAGTAATGGCTTTTACTAAGTTAAATCTTAACAGGAATGATGGGAAAAACCTTAGATTAATGTGATATGGTATAAACAATCCAAGTCAAGACAGAAGAAGAGAAATTACAAAGCACTGTATATATAAATATATGGTATAAATATTAACCACTACCACCCACTATGAAATAAATGCACAGAAAACATTTATATTTCAGTTATTAATAACTCCCACCCCAAATTCCAAAAACCATTCTCTAGAGAAAATCCACAAACAAAGCACTGAAGTAAACCCACATTTTTAAGGAAGGTTCAAATTCTGATGCCTCAATTTGCAACCCTCTTACTTGCAGAATGGCTTGGATCCAAAACAGGAACCTTATGTGTACCCCACACTGCAGCTCAGATGCATATATAACACATGCAAGGAATAGTACTATACATGAAACAAGATAGAGTTGTGCTATTTTATGAGATCTCAAATGCTAGCTCAGATTTGTCCTCTAACCTATGCCTTCCACCTATCCCCAATGCAAATGCAAACTAAGTGAACTGAAGATCTTCTTGGCATCCTGGCTAATGTAACTATAGACTGTACAACCCATGGGCTTATAACCCACACCCCAGTAATCTCTCAGGTAGTTGCTTACACATCTGTTTGCCATTGGTGTTATTTCTAGAGCACAACCACAACAGGCATGCCCAGTCAGTTGCCACCATTCAGCCTTAGCTTACAGAGAGATCTTCAGTTTCCTAAGTTGTCAGCACATCAGGAAAGCAAAAAGCAAATAAAGAGGGAAAGACGTTTTGCTAGTCAGACTCCGAAGGAGAGCAGCAGCCATGGAGAGCAGATGTGAACTGGCAGACTTAGGACAATGCAGTGTGAAATGGAGCACAGTCCATCAGTCTGCAAAGAATTTAACTCTGATTGCTCAGCACTGATGGTCTTTCTGAAAGCTGTGAAGGTTTTTATTATTACTATTTTTATTACTTAAACAGGGAAACTCCCCAGGCCTCGCTGAAGAACTGAACCACATTGTTCCAGACACTATTTGTGTAAAACTAGAAACACCTTTCCACAATAGAAGATTTAAACAGGCTGAGTGAGAGAAATTACTGAAGAACAATTAAAAGTTAGCACACAGGTCTCTGTGGTGATGAAGCAATATCACCTTCCCTTCTTTGTACTGCCAGGATCATGCTTCTTGAAGTACATACAAGTAATTTTATACCCGTCCCTTGGTGTTAAGTGGAATACTTGCTCCTTGAGGGCACATCAGATAGAGGATAAAAAGGCTGAAGAAGGGGAAAAAAGCCCCGAAAACTGATGCAATTTATAAACTTTCTCCTTTCAGTATGAAGTGCTGATAGACTATCACTGCGAAGGGTTAGCTGAGTGCTAAAAAACGTGGCTCTGCCAAGCAAGAACTGACAGAGAAATGGGAAGCAAGACGCCAAGCAGCAAGGAAACAATAAGGAGTCAAATGTTCTCAGACTAGCTTCCTGAAGTACATGTTGTACAAAAGTCAACAGAAAGGTGCTTTCTGAGCTGAGTTTAGAAACCCAGGTCCCAGTTAGTACACTGGGACACGTTTGCCATTTTTAAAATTGATGTTGTTGGGTTTTTTTGCTAAGGCAATACTACAGACTACCACAAGATGGTGGGATTGCAAAATAAAGTTTTTGAAAATTTTGTTTTGTTATGTTTAGGTTTGCTTTGAGTTTTTTTTTTTTTTTTTTTTGGGGGGGGAGTCTGTTGTTGATGATGGTTTTTTGTTGTTGTTACTGTACTGAAACATTGATTACGACTTAATCTACCTATACAGAAATTACCATACAGATTTTAGCACCCTAAACAAACATACATATCTACATACACAGTGCCTGAAAAGCTCTTTAAGAGAGCTTTTAGATTGTTAAAAATTCTATTTAGCAAGAGTTAAGAGAAAAGCTAGAAACATTCTTCTTTCAATGTAAATATTGGTATAAAAATATTTCAGTGTTGTTATAATAATGTAACTAAAAGAATGTTTCATATAACTGACCTGTTTAGACCTTGCAGTCCAATACTACTTTTTTCACCTTCTGTTTTAAAATACAAATGAAAACTTTAAAATGGCAGTCTCCATTTTTAATCCCTCTGTATTTTAGGTCTTTCAATCCACAAATACCATTAAGAACATTTCAGCTACAGAGGACAGCTGTGAGTTTCAAAGGAGAGCTGAACTGCTGAGGCTTGGGAGCATTTATTTCCATTTCCTGTCTGCAGTGTTCTACCCACAGCCTAAGGCGACCAACAGCATTTATAGATCTGCGTTCAGGGCATTTGTGTGGTTTGTAAACGTGGATCTTTCCAGGGCCTGTAGAGGACCTTTTCTCATGGACTTTTTCCAACTACAACTGATCAGTTTAACACAAGGGAGAATTTCTCCCTTCAAACCTGGCCTTACTTAAATTGTAGGACCATTAGAGCTACAGAGATTTAATGATTATTTAATGATTATACCTATCCTGGTATTTCTTTTTCTACCTGACACTCTTCCATAATTACACATTCATAATTACCATGAATAAAAGTATTCATTGGCAAGTATTCAAATAGACTAGTATTAAAAATACTACTAATAAAATTAGCATTATTAGTATTTAAAATACTAATAATAAAAATAGTATTTTTAAAAATAAAAATGTCAATTCCAGCAGGAAATCATCTGTTATCTAAATTGGAACAACCCTTTTGAGGTGGACTTTCTCCACATGCACAGTGAATAATTGCAAGCTTGAAATGAGAATGACAAAACACAAGGCAGAAAATTTAATGGAACACAAAAAGCATCAGCAAGGTGAGAAGTAGCCTATTTTGGCATGTCATGCTGGAAGGTCTGAGAAAGATTAATTACCTTGCTAAAACATTAATACTGCTTTACTGTTGATATGTTTCCAAAGGAGCATCCCCCACCCCACCCCTGTCCACCAAAGGCATTACAAATGCAAATGAACTACAACCTCCCCTTGGTCATCAGACTACACATATTCAAAGCCCCATTCACCTTAGCTTCGTCATTAATATCTCTGGTGGCATTGCTGTTTTGACAGCATTTTCCTTTGTGGAAAGTGCCTGCCAGACCCATTACAGCGCCTGGAGTCCCTCACCCTCTCTGCCACACACCAACACTGGCTGACGCCCAGCAGGTCACCAGGAATGCACACAGCCCGACGCCAGGACTAGCAGGCAGCACGGTCAGAGAACCAGAGCCAGCGCTTCAGAGCACAAAGCCAACAAGCTCCTCACAGACTCCCAGAGAGGAAATATTAACAGGGCAAGGTCACATTACAAAAAGACTAAAGCTGTGCCAAAAATAGCTCCAGATCGCAACGACACATAGTCTGCCTAAAGAACAAACAGTAGGGAACAACAAGCTGTGAGGCTGTAATTCAATTTAGGAGTTCTGGTAATAAACCAAAAGGAGAACAGTACAGTTCAAAAAGTTTGTGTATCAGTACCTCCTGCAATTACTTGAATTACAGCTCCATCATTTCAGATTCCCACAATCCTGGATATGAAGAGTATTTCTTGGTCTGATGTGTCCCTGCTTAG